AATTCCTGCGTGCCGAACCGGGTCAGTGGCTGCTGGTCAGAACAGGAGGACCCGGAGCTGAGAGTCCATAGGGAGAGAGTCTGACCTGAGAGCAGGTCCACAGCAGAATCCGGTTAGTTTAGGGAGGGAGAGCGACGGGACGAGGCTATTTCCTTAGAGGAATTTAAACAACATGTTATTATGCAAATTCACTTTTCACTTTTCACTTTGATTACAGTGACTACATGTTCTACCACAGTTGTATAACTAACGATAATGTGTAATACTTTCTGTTTTGTACAGAAGCACAAGCACCTGTAGGCCAAGTGGAGTTTGGAAAGTGAAGCTCTTCCTGCTGCCAAATGCTGACCAAATTGTCCTTCCGCCTCATGCAGAATGCAGAAAACTAACCAGTGGGCTTAGGTAATGTACAATGCATAGGTTCTGAATGCCAACATGCACTTGAATTGTATTTGTGTCTTTATTTACACGGAAAATGCAAACCTATTTACATTATTGTGGATTTGCAAGTGCTGGATGACATCATTGCTGCACTTTTGCAGCAAAACTAAAGATTTGTTTATTTTACACTTTCAGCAGACTTTTTCCATATTCAGCAGGACTTGCCCTGACTGATTTGGTGAGCAAACACCCTAAAAATCCAATGCTTATGAAGAGCTAGTCCTTTCGACCACTCAAAGCGCTTTTACACTACATCTGCATTCACCAATCACATACATTCATACACTGAGCCTAAGTGCTCAAACGGAAACTAACATTCACACTCACTCATACACTGGCGGAATCGGGGTTCAGTATCTTGCCCAAGGACACTTCCATGCACCAGGGGAGCCAGGGATTGAACCGCTGACCTTCTGATTAACGGCCAACCCGCTCTACCTCCTGGGCCACAGCCGCCCTTGTATATACATTATGTCACGCATATTGACATCATGTGCTCAAATCATAACAAATACAGCAATGTTTATCGTTCATGACCTTCAAGACACAATAACGCTTTGAATCGAGGTCATTAACTAGTGAAAAGAAGTAAATGATTGAGTCATTGTATTGATTTATTGACAATATTTTTTTTTTGAATTTGACAGGGATCCCGAGTCATGATTTGCCAGGGAAGGCTCACAAAGATGTTATGCACAACTTTCCTGGACTCTCCCAGAGTTTAATAATTACATTGCCAAAGCTTTCCCACAGTTAGCCTGAATGTAATTGGATTTCATCTCGCCAGAGCTGACAAGTCCAGGGTTCTGAGTAAAATTCAGGCAAATACACTGAGGAGGTGAGGACAGCAGTTGGCAGAAGCAGGGTATATTATTCCCCAGACCAATATTACACTGCCACAGGTGAGTTGTTGTTGTATTTTCTCGCCAGCACTCCTTTTAATGTTAGCACACTGATGATAGTTACTAAACAGGCTTTTTGTTTTGTCCGTCAAGATCCCAGGACCTGAAAGAACTCGTACCCTGCCAGAAACATCTCCACCTGATGGACCTGAGTCTCTACCTGCTTCTTCATCATCCACACCACCAATGGCCACACCCACTACTTCACCATCAGCCATCAGATCTGCAGTCTCACCTGCTGCCCCCCCAGCAATTCATGTAGGTCCAGCCCTGTTCCCCGCACCATCAGCCATCAGACCTCCGGCCTCACCCGCTGTCCCCCAGGTCACACCGCCTGCTCCTACAGCACCCATCGGCATGCCACCGGTCACATCTAGTGCAAGTTCCCAGTCCCCTCCCTTAGCGTCATGTCCCTGTCTTCGACGATGGACAGTGATGCGGGATCACCGAGGACAGACGAACCCATCACTCGTAAGTTATTGTAAAGCAATAATACATTTGTATGTACTTTGATAATTCACACCAAAGTAAAGAGTAATCTAAAATCCTAGTTAAAAAGTCATCCTTTTAGTTTAGTTTCAAAGCTAACCTCAGTGAAATATGTAAATGGTCATTCTTGTCAACCAACAGGAGGCAAGTTTGGATCCTGCACAGTGGGTGAACGCTGGCACCCCAGAGGTAAGTTTTAGTTCTGTGATAAGTCGCATTTAGGATGTTTAGCAAATATTGATATTTTGAGACATTTTCATTTCATGCACAATTTGTACCTTCTAGGTCTTTTACAGAAGGGCCCGTATGGAACCACTCAACAGGTCTGTCATAGGTTTACAAACAGGACCGTGTGTGACACTGCATTCACATAAACAGTCTCAATACTCATCTTTAAATTTGACAGAGAATATCAGAATACGCATGTAGATTACCAAGACCAGTAGTCTGCAAAGACATTTGGGTCCAAAAAAGGCCTGACTATGTAATACTGACGCTGACAAAAAAAAAAATCTGAGCTTTTAGGACTCCTGTCAATGACCTTGTTATTGCGGACCCTGAGGAAGCGGAGGAGGACGACATTATTGCAGTTCATTTGAAAGTGACAGTCCTCCGTCGGTAAGTTAAATTTTTTTACACTGCATTCAACTGGGAGAATAGTTTACGTTTATATGTAATTTTTAAGGACACAATACATTACACATACACTATAATAAAAATGAGATATTGCCACTATTTAAAAAGGAAATTCAAAGACCAGACCAACCTTTTTTGCCAGTCATTTCTGACGTACTTTTTACATTTGATGTATTTTAGGAAGATGTGGATCTTGCCATCATTTTGAGGACTTTTCAAGAGGATCACCTTTCTCACGGCCTGGTATCCACCATTTGTGTCAGGAGGAGAAAGCTTCTGGAGAGTGCCGTTAAAGCCATCTCCAGAAACGCTTTCTGTTGGACCCACTCACCACTTATTGAGTTTGTAGGAGAAGACGCAGATGATATGGGGGACCGCAGCGAGAGTTTTTCAGGTCAGAATACCTAAACTAAATTTCTTCAGTGTTTTAGAACAAATGTTTGCATGGGGAGCTGCACAGTAATACACATCGCTGTATTTCTCTTTTCTGTCCATTTACTCTAGACTCTTGATGATAGAGGTACAGACCTCCCTGGGCATTTTTGAGGGAAAGGCCGGCCAGCTCTTTCTTAGTTACGACCAAGCAGCACTAGACCAGCGTAAATATTTCAGAGGTGGCAACCTCATCGCTTGGTCGATTGCCCACGGAGGTCCGTGTATCAGAGCCCTGGACCCCAGCCTCTTCCAGCTGATGTGCGGACAGGAGCCTCCGCTGGAGCAGTTTGACTGGCGTGTGCTCCCTGACCCAGATGTGCAAAGCAAAGTCAACAGGGTACTTTGTAATTATCATGTGAATATTTATTTGGATTTTAAACAAACATTTCTTTACTTTGGGTCGCTGTTGACAAAAGAACATTTAATGTCTAGCAGGACAAACACTTGCTCAATCTGGGACTCCTGCTACATTATTGTCACTCAGATTTCTGTCCAAGATCCTACAGTGCAAGACTGCAGGGGACCTGACTCAGCTCCAGCAAGACCTGGGGGACTGGATTGCAGAGTGCGGCGTCCCAAGCGTATTTAGTGCCACAGTTGAAGACATACCAAAAGTCTACGCATGTAGTGAAGCACTACATCTTCTCAGGTAAACACATTTTACAGTTGTAACTACTACAAAACACTGTCAATATAAAAAAAATGTATGTTTCTGCACTTATTTTTTGGTTTGGGTCAGAGTTTGATACATTTATTCCCCAGTATAGCATCAAAGAAATCATAAAAATTATGTTGATGTTGCAAATTACCAGGACAGAAAGAGAAGCTGTGAGCTGAGGATCAGTTGGACATTTGCGTATTGTTTGTCAAACAGCAGACAGATGTACTGGACCTCTTGTGCAGGTGTGCTCCTGGGTTCTCTCTTCTCTTTCTGTCCTGGGTTGGCCACTGAAACTGGAGAGCCATTGTAAACATATAATTAAGAAACAGTGTCATTATCATTTTGATGCGGTTGATCAGTCTTTCCCACAATTTGTGGTGTGATTCCAAACTTGTGCACGGTGATGTACATGTTTTATCTCTGTCGCTTTACAGAACGGCCAAGATGATCCTCCAGTTCACAGACGGAATGAATGCATTCGGGAAGCTGTGGGACCTGGTGAGGAAGAACTGGATTGCCTTCCTGCCTTTGTTCACCAACATGCAGGAGCCCATGTCAAAGGCAGCCTTCAAGGCCCTCTTCAGTTACAACTACAGCAGGAGAGGCAGCAACCATCGCGAGGCAGAGGAGGACACCATCTACTGCTGGGAGATGGTGCTTAACATGATTGAAGGTACGTTATATTCCTTTATGAAAATGTTAGAGCACTAATTATGAAACCAAACATCCATGAATGTACTGTGACAGAAAGAAAATACAAAGTGTTTTACCAATTTAGGAAAATGATCTTACGCCAATGTACCAAAGCCATTACAACAAGGTACACATTTAGACGTGATCAAAAGTACCTTGTGTCTCAGTGACTGTACTCTGAAGCCAGTCAGGTTTATATTCTCTACATTTGTGATTAAAGGAAATACAGTTCTGATCTTGTAAAGTTTGACATTTGATTTTAAAAATGAAAATGTCACTTAGATGCTTACGTTTTCTTCTGATAGACAAAGTGACTGACCTCAAATTCGAAGACCTTCTGATTTTCACCACTGGAGCAGACGAGGTTCCTCCCCTGGGCTTTCCCAGGAAGCCCTCCGTCGACTTCTATGAACAGGAGGCAGGCCTGCGCCGTTTGCCCTACGCATCTACCTGCACGATGTGCCTGTACCTGCCGAGAGGCGTCAGTCAAGAGGAGGAACTGCACGAGATGCTTTTACTGGCCACAAGAGGCTCTTTGGGATTTGGAAAGGTGTAGAAGCTTTGATAAGCAGACGCTCCCAGGCAGTTAGCAGTAGTAATTAAAGTGTAAAGTAATGAAAGCGGATGTGTGTTTGTGTTAAAGAAAATATAAAACCTTTTAATTAAATAAATAAATAAAACAGTAAGCGTTTGTGTGTGTGTGTTTGTTAAAAAAAATATATTACAAATAAAATAAACCAAACAGCCTGTGTGTGTGTGTGTGTGTCTGTTAAAAAATAATATATATATATATATATAGATATATATATATTATATATAATTTAAATAAATAAATAAAACGGTAAGTGTGTGTGAGTTTAAAAAAAAATATATATATATATATCTATTAAAAATAAAATAATCTCTGAATCTCTATTTGAATGCGGGGTCAAAAACTGCTGCTCACAGAAAACCTTAGATAGTCTTTGGGTGAGCTTTGATAGGGACTGAATGATGCAATGAAACAGCATGTCTGGCTCTGTAAGAGAGAAACTCTGGGTCTGTTGAAGAAAACCTGTAAGTGAACAGGTTAGGGTCACAGAGAAACCCTGTTTGCAGATTGCAATTTGACACCATTCAATGTGTCAAATTCTGTCATAATTTTTGTTGCTCCATATTTAGGGGGGGGGGTATAATCTGTACAACTGGGTAAACACAAAATGAACATGATGATATGTTTTTAATGTCCTCTACACATTTTGTACCCATCGGTGTTCTTTGGGGTCAGATTGACCCCAGCCTGTTTTAGCAGTATTAAACATATATGTAAGCAGAAACATTTTACACACATTTGTTGTGGTTGTTTTGGATGCAACTGAGGTCACCATGACATGCAATGTTATAATATTCCTTCAGGACCTTATATTGGTAGAGCTAGTGTCTCATGGGTGTGTTAGTCATTCAGTAGACAGCTAGAGGAGTCTGGGTCAACATTATATGCTGTAAATCATAACGATGAGCCATTAAAAACAGATCCATACACATTACTTATGGTTATATAAACATCAACATGAAAGACTGTGCCAATGTTGCTATTTCATAATAAACTTTGATAAAAGTGAACCTGGTAGTTTATTTTTCTGCTGAAGGCCTGCTCATTGTTCAGCTGTATGTGAATGTAAATAAATAATTACATCTTTAAAAGGCATTTATTTTGAATCACAGAGTGGATACTTCCTCTCCCAGTATTTCTTTTGATAAAACATTGATGTAAATATGCATTTTCAGACTTTATTCTGCATATATATTAAGCAAAGAGCTGGCAGTTAACAACACTGAAAATTGATCAGGCTTTAAAGGGTTAAATTTTGGCGGCAGGAAATTCAAACTGGCCAGCCAATAGGAAGGTTCCATGATTTGCATTTAGTGCAACTAGTACTACTAGTAGACCATTTTAGCTCTTACTAGTACTACTAGTAGACACTTTAGCGCCTACTAGTAGTACTAGTAAGGTCAAAATGTGCTTACTAGTAGTACTAGTAGGCGCTAAAAAGTCTACTAGTACTACTAGTAAGCGCAAAAATGTCTACTAGTAGTACTAGTAAGGTCAAAATGTGTCTACTAGTACTACTAGTAGACATTTTATGTCTTACTAGTACTACTAGTAGACATTTTAGCACCTACTAGTAGTACTAGTAAGGCGAAAATGTGCTTACTAGTAGTACTAGTGACCATTTTTGCGCCTACTAGTAGTACTAGTAGACATTTTGGCGCTTACTAGTAGTACTAGTAAGGCAAAAATGTGCTTACTAGTAGTACTAGTGGCCATTTTTGCGCTTACTAGTAGTACTAGTGACCATTTTAGCGCTTACTAGTAGTACTAGTAGGCCATTTTGGCTTACTAGTAAGGCAAAATGGCTTACTAGTAAAGGCCAAAAACCGCGCACTAGTAGGATATCGAATAATGCTCAAACGGCTTTCCATACTTACTAGTAAGGCAAAATGGCTTACTAGTAAAGGCCAAAAACCGCGCACTAGTAGGATATCGAATAAATGCTCAAACGGCTTTCCATAAGCGCCAAAATGGCCACTAGTACTACTAGTAAGCACATTTTTGCCTTACTAGTAGTACTAGTAGGCGCCAAAATGGCTTTTACTAGTAAGCCATTTTGCCTTACTAGTAAGCCAAAATGGCGTACTAGTACTACTAGTAAGCGCTATGGCGCCTACTAGTAGTACTAGTATGGTCAAAAACACCTCTACTAGTAGTACTAGTACGCCATTTTGGCTTACTAGTAAGGCAAAATGGCTTACTAGTAAAAGCCATTTGGCGCCTACTAGTACTACTAGTAACGTCAAAATGTGTCTACTAGTACTACTAGTGGCCATTTTTGCGCTTACTAGTACTACTAGTAGACTTTTTAGCGCCTACTAGTACTACTAGTAAGGTCAAAATGTGTCTACTAGTAGTACTAGTAGACGTTTTGGCTCTTACTAGTACTACTAGTAGACATTTTTGCGCCTACTAGTAGTACTAGTAAGGTCAAAAAATGTCTACTAGTAGTACTAGTAAAGATTTTTACACTATATTAAAGGCAAAATGAATGAAAATGTGCTTACTAGTATTACTAGTAGACATTTTAGGTCTTACTAGTACTACTAGTAAGCGCCAAAATGTCTACTAGTACTACTAGTAAGGCAATATGGAAAGCCGTTTGAGCATTTATTCGATATCCTACTAGTGCGCGGTTTTTGGCTTTTACTAGTAAGCCATTTTGCCTTACTAGTAAGCCATTTTGCCTTACTAGTACTACTAGTAAGCGCTAAAATGGTCACTAGTACTACTAGTAAGCGCAAAAATGGCCACTAGTACTACTAGTAAGCACATTTTTGCCTTACTAGTACTACTAGTAAGCGCCAAAATGTCTACTAGTACTACTAGTAGGGGCAAAAATGGTCACTAGTACTACTAGTAAGCACATTTTTGCCTTACTAGTAGTACTAGTAGACATTTTGGCGCTTACTAGTAGTACTAGTAAGACCTAAAATGTCTACTAGTAATACTAGTAAGCACATTTTCATTCATTTTGCCTTTAAATATAGTGTAAAAATCTTTACTAGTACTACTAGTAGACGTTTTTTGACCTTACTAGTACTACTAGTAGGCGCAAAAATGTCTACTAGTAGTACTAGTAAGAGCCAAAACGTCTACTAGTACTACTAGTAGACACATTTTGACCTTACTAGTAGTACTAGTAGGCGCTAAAAAGTCTACTAGTAGTACTAGTAAGCGCAAAAATGGCCACTAGTAGTACTAGTAGACACATTTTGACGTTACTAGTAGTACTAGTAGGCGCCAAAATGGCTTTACTAGTAAGCCATTTTGCCTTACTAGTAAGCCAAATTGCGCACTAGTACTACTAGTAGAGGTGTTTTTGACCGTACTAGTACTACTAGTAGGCGCCATAGCGCTTACTAGTAGTACTAGTACGCCATTTTGGCTTACTAGTAAGGCAAAATGGCTTACTAGTAAAAGCCATTTTGGCGCCTACTAGTACTACTAGTAAGGCAAAATGTGCTTACTAGTAGTACTAGTGGCCTTTTTTGCGCTTACTAGTAGTACTAGTAGACATTTTAGCGCCTACTAGTACTACTAGTAAGGTCAAAATGTGCTTACTAGTAGTACTAGTGGCCTTTTTTGCGCTTACTAGTAGTACTAGTAGACTTTTAGCGCCTACTAGTAGTACTAGTAAGGTCAAAAACGTCTACTAGTACTACTAGTGGC